ATCAGCAGGGATATGGAAGATTTCATCAAGTTGGGAAGAGATTAATTTAGGATGATTTGGTTCTAGCACTTGCTGCTCAACAAAAGAAGAGTCGGTGCTATATAACTTCCTCTGATTTTCAGTTTCACATTTTGATGTGTCAAAATCCTCACAAATATGAGCCTTGGGTTCACTGCCATCTGCTTGGACAAGAACTTCATTTGGTCCATCGTGATTTTTTGATGAGTTATTAATTTGAACTAGTAATTTTTCATTTCCCAGATATACACTACTATTATCCTTTGGAGCTATGGTGGATGCACTTTCATCATCTAATAAACAATTCTGCTCTAGTAATACTCCAAATGGCTCAATCAAGGTATGCTCCGCACTAGGTTCTGTAGTTTGGATCATTCCTGCACAACTTTTCAGGTATGTTGTTAAACTACCTGAACTTATACTGTTTTCAGTGTCAGACCCAGATGCATTATATGATTCAATAATATCAGGCACAGCTTTGGAAGCATTGGGTTCTAGCTCATTACTGTGGGTTTTACTAACTGATGAATCAAATATTGCACTCAGATTGTCAATATGAATAGGACTTTTGGCTGAAAGTTTTGTAGCACTATCTTTCCGTTTAGTCACATCTTCATTTATCTCCAGCGCATCTGTAATTTTACTTATTTCTGTGTCATTGGTTGGGTTAACTGAAGTGTAACTTTCACTGTTACCATTCTCTTTCTGGAATGACTTGCTATCTGGTAAATCTGAAATGATTTGTTCATGTAACTCCAAGCTCTCTATATTTTTTTCAGTCTCTTTGTTAGATATTACAGGAGTAGAGCCAGCAGATTTATTAGCATCACTGTAACAGTACTGCCCATCCATTTGCTCTGTGCTGAAATTCATTTTTTGGTGTAGTGTATCATCACTGAAATGTAGATTATTCTTAATTTTTGGGTATTCAGTACACAGCTTAGCACACACACTACTATCTCCAGAGTGAAGGCATTCATTATTCAGCTTATCTTTAATTACCATGTGTTCGGTATCCTGCTTGACACATGTGCTATCAGAAAGGGGGGCAAGATTAAAGTTACTATTTACATAACCATCATCACATTGGTGTTGGTGATGTCCATTAACCAACTCAGTGTGTTCACCATCTCCCTTAGCTGAAAGGCCTTCTTGCAGGACCTCCGAACACACATTATCAACTTGAGTTGGAGCAGGTGCAGTAGTTTGTTTGGCTGATGCTTTATCCTCTTCACTATGATCCACTACAGCTTGCATTTTGCTGCAAATACCATTATGTTCAGTTTGAGGATGATGACTACTGGCAGCTGAACAATTATCTGGTGTTTGGAGGGATGTGGGATCCCCCCTTACATTTTCTTCCATATGTTTAAGGTAGTGATTGGCACAAGTAATCTTACCTTGAAATTGAGGCTCTGTAGTATTATAACTGTCAAAGTTTCTAGTTTCTAATATATGTGTATCTAATAAATTATCAGGAAGGTGTTGTGAATCACTCGGAATTTTAGAGTTACATATGTTTTCACATGCTCCAACTGAGCAAGAATTCTCACTGGAAATATTATTTGTCTGAGCATCAACACCATTACATTGAGTATTAAAGTTACATTTACCAGCAACTTCATCAATGTCTTTATCTTCAACACAAAAATGAAAATGCTCCTCCGTAGCATGATAATCTTTCTCACTGTTGGTCTCATCAGTAACAAAACATTCAATGTCAGTTTCACTGAAAAAACTTTCACTATATTCATCATCAATTTCTTCATCGCTGATTACTACAGAAACATTGTGAGGGCTATGGGATATATTATCTTTACACGTGTTTAATACGCTACTTTCCAACACCTCTTCCTCTGCATGAGCTAAGGTTGAGTTGGGTTCCTTAGGAGGCCGAACGTCTATATGGACTACTGTCTGGTCTTCTACACATGAGTTACATTCTGAATCTTCTTCGGTTATTGTCTCTAGAAACTGTCTTCCGTGTATCGTGTCAGTGCTTTCAACATCATTGTCATTGTAATAGAAAGTATCATCGTCTGAACTTGAATCACTTTGAGTAGGTGTCCTATCCTCTATACTGTCTTCCCCAATAGTTTTCCATGTTTTTAGTGTTGGGGACATGTTACTAATGTCAAATTCACTGTCATCATCGCCCACAGATATTTCTGAATCGCTGCTGCTTCCCAAATATCTATGTGTTCTGATTTCAGAATCATTAGAGTAATCACTATATTCCTCTTCCTCATGCAAGAGATCAGAGGAAATTTCCTGACCTATATTAGAAAGAGGAAGATCGTCATTAAAGCAGCAACCTTGAAATTGCTGCTCTTCATGCTCACTTCTATTGCAGTCATCAATCAAAGTAAACAACTGATCTGTTGGATCAGAAGAACTGCTATGTTCTTGTTTAGAAGAGTCCTTATTCTCTGGCACATCATTAAAATGATTAATTTTGGACAAAACTAGTATTTCACTGCTACTGTCTTTATGGTCGTCTTGAAGTGACTCTTTCTGACTCTCTTTGGTAGGTTGAACATCAAATACATTCTCTTGGGTACGTTTTGCAGCCAGCTCTGTTTCAGAGAGATCAGTGGGCTCTCCATTATCTTCTAGTGATGTGCGCACTATATGTTCAGACTCTAGCAACATGCTGGCAGCTTTATCGAGATCAGTGGGCTCTCCATTATCTTCTAGTGATGTGCGCACTATATGTTCAGACTCTAGCAACATGCTGGCAGCTTCATCAAGGTCAGTGAGCTCTCCATTGTCTTCTACTGATGTGCACACTATATGTTCAGACTCTAGCAACATGCTGGCAGCTTCATCAAGATCAGTGCGCTCTCCATTGTCTTCTAGTGATGTGCGCACTATATGTTCAGACTCTAGCAACATGCTGGCAGCTTCATCAAGATCACCATCAAACAACAAAAGTATTTCTCCTGTATTGGCGTCAATATAGCTATTTATCATGAGATAGGAAATGAACAACTGTTTTGTATGTTCAGGATTGTGCATCAATGGTTCCTCTGATTTATTTTCTGAATTTTCATTCAGCTGAGTGGTCTGGGAATCATAACAAGACATCCATTTCAATTTGCAGGTAGGTTCAAGTACATCTATGTTTGGCATTTTGTCCTGTAATTCCAGGTTGCTGAGAACTGCTGCTGTGTTATTCTCTATTATGCCAAGTTGAGCAGCCACATCCAATTTTACAATCTCAGATGTCTCTGGTATATATAATCCAGCAATTTTCTGTCTGTTACTTAAAATCTTTTGTGCTAGTTCATTTGAAACCATTCCTTGTTGCAAAGAAGTGGATATTGGGAATATCTCACTTGTATCAGGCCATATCAATCCAATAAATCCTCTTTGTGCTTCCAAAACCATCAGTGCACTACTGTGTGAGATTAAATTGCATTGTATAGCTTCATCCACAGTTAAATATTTTTTTCTTAATGGGCAAATTATTCCTCCATTTTGAATCTGTTGAGTTAATATTCCACATATTGTTGCCTGATCAGTTATACCTTGCTCTCGAGATTCCTCCAATGTCAATCTTTTTCCAGAATCAGGTTCGATAATACCTCCTGAAAGAAGCTGAGCCCCCAACAATCTATACATGACTTCCCGTTCTAGGACTCCTTCATGAGCTGCTCTTAGAACATTGACTTTCCTTCCAGATTTTAATGTGACTTTACCTTTTTCTTCTACATTAACTGGAAGAAATCTCATTCCTGTTGTTTTATCTATGACAGTCCTTTGGAGGATTTCTGTTAGAGTAACCTTCTCTGCAGTAATAGGATCAATCAGATCTTTACCTGTCTTCTGTCTTTCAAGTAGTTTTGTAAACATCAATGGGGAGATCATATTTCGCTGGAAGAGTTTATTTATGTTGAGTTGCTCTCCAGTTGTAGGGGCTTGAAGGCAACCACAAGAAAGTAATGTGCTGATCACCTTAATTGCTATTGTTTCTGATATTAACCCCTGTTCAATGGCAGAAATTACTGGAAACTCACTTGGGGAGAGTGTTGAAATAATAACTTTAGCCTCTGCTATTTCCTGTAATCGTATTTGAATTTGTGCATCAATAAGCCTGTGAGTTTTGGCTTCTTCAACATCAAAACATGTCTTTGTGTGTGGACAAACCAATCCAGAAACAATAAGCTGCATTTCAAGCAGCTGAATTCCAGTTTCATAATCAATAAGGCCTTCCAGAACAGACTGATAGACTGAATAAACTGTCCCATTTGTCTCATCTATGGTTCCTGATACAATCTTATCAACCTAAAGTAGGAAATACAAAATAATTAATAAAGGAAATATTGGTCATAACACATGCCGAATTATTACCTTTAATTGTGCTTAGAAAGCAAGATACTTACCAAAGTTGTAACAAACAACTGTATTAACAGCTCAAAAGTGCAAGCTATTTATGTCAGCAGTCTTGACAGCAAGTGTGACATAAGCTTTAAACTCAGCATGCATCTGTGAACTAGAACTTGGTTTTAGAAGACACTGTGGGGGTTAGTGAAAACAGTTGATGACAACAGATGGATTTCATATCACCTGCAAAGTAAATCACCATGCCATTTGATGCCTGTGATGGGTTAGAGAAGTCACACATTGAACCATGCTCATCATGTTTACAGCATACTGTATAAACCACACCTGATGAATCAAACGTTGTTAATAGCGAAATCAGGATGATATCACTGATTACAAAACTGCCAATCCTATAGAAAACACACTAGTGGTCTTTTACTAGGTTTTGTCAAATGAGATCATAAGAAAGCATAAGAAATGTTAATATTCAACCAGTATTAGCTTGGCTCTACCGTTTACCCACCAACATACCCCCCAAAAACAAGGATCCTTATTAAAAGCAGGAAAAAAACATATTGATTTATTGATCCAACTCCATGCAGAAAATCACACAGATTGCATAATTGATGCACTACAAATAGATCAAGCAATGTCACCTTCTGCTCCACCAGTTTCTCTACCAAATTCTTTGCTTCTTGTTGCCGTCTTTCATACTCTCTAGACAGCACACTCTGGCTTTCCTGCAGTGCTTTGATTTGTGTTTCAATCTCTGATCTTTCTTCTTCTGTCATTCTGGTGAAGAAGAAAAACAGTTTTTAGACAATTTTACATTTCTGTTATCGTTGTTGCTCTCAGAAAAAATTGAGAGTGGAAAAAATAGAAAGTGGGGAGAAAGATGTGAGAGCCCTATACAGTGTAGTTTTTTAAATAACCATAAATAGGAAAAGACAGTGGAATAATATTACTTACATCTGAAAAGGGGGCAGAATTGAGAGAGGAAGGGATAGCACTAGGTGGCAAACAGGATTTGCTACAGTGCTAGCAGAGCACATGGCTCACCAGGTTGGTGCTACTTGTTCATTGCCCCATCAACAGTCTGGGTGTGTGTCTTTAACTAAGCAGTCACCTGGACTTAGATTTTAGTAAGTAAAAGGAAGACAAATTCATAACAGATTGCCTTGCAGATAAAAGGGTACAAAACTGACCTATACCAAACAAAAATGAGATAAGGAATCCAAGAACGGAATAAAAAGAGCAATGTGCCCTATTTTCTCTCTCTTCTCTAATCTCCACTTCTGCCTTAAAACAATGTGTATAGTAATTATGCTGTGACAAAGGGAATTCGCTTTCTCTGGACCATCGCTATTCAATTTCCATTTTCAACTATTTCTCACCATTGCATTTCCAAAACCAGAAGATTAAGGAAAAATATTGTTTCATAATTATATTTTATAATACAATAACAGGTAAAGTCTGAACCTAAGACCAAAACTATAACGTGTTTACTATAAACTGTAGCCCCTGAAAACCCCAACTTCTCGGGAGTCCTACAGTGAAAGTCTTGGTGCCTAAGCAATCTATAGCCCAGCCTGATCACTTATACATGGGGAAGGGTGGGTGTGCTGGCAAAGCCTACCACATACAGACTCGTTTTTGGTTAAAACAATTATTTTTTTTGTTTAAAATGGGCTTTCACTGCGTTCCAAGGCATTTGCATGCATTTTTGATGCGTTTGCATGCATTCCAGAGCAGGTAAAATAGGGCTTGGTGCAGTTTTTTACATGCTCTGGAACTGAACGTTGCGGTGTGAACTAGAGCCCAAAATACCATTGGAATACATTGGCCGCAGTTTTGATCCGGTCTGTAACTGCTCTACTCTGCTCCTGGAACGCGCTTGGTGTGAACAAGGCCTAAAGAGCACATAATACAGTATCTATGATTTTGTAAAGATCACAATTCTCCCAAACACTATAGAAAATGTCTTCTTTAGGATACCTGTCACCGTGCTTGGCTAAAAGTAACTGCAATGTTTGTACAGCATCTGCCGCTTCTTCTTGCTTAGTAAGAATTGCTTCAGAAGAAATCTAGAAAATGTAAGGGAGAGAAACAAACACAACATTATATTCACAGAGTAGACAAAAATAAGCACTGTTATAGCAATATGAATACAGCGTGCACCTACATGCTACATTGTACAATTCTGCATTTATAAAGTGACACAGGTCTCTTATGAATTCATGTCTGCCTGCTCTTCACATCCTGCTGGCTGAAAATAGCCAAGTATTTTAAATTGTATGCCCAACCAAAATGTTTTTTTTATGGAGTGAGAAGGGTTAGAAACATTGCTTCTACCATATCCGGCACTTCATTATAGAGGTTTCCACTCACTTTCTGTCCTGGTTTAACCAGACAGGAAATGTGGGGCTAAATCTCTAGAGCAGCAGAAGGCTAGAACTTTAGCTTTGTATTGCAGTCTATGCTTATTGCAGATTTTCCCTCACTTCCTGTCTGGTAAAAATCTAACTAGAACAGTGAAGGGCAATCTCTCTAATGAAGCCCCAGATAGCAGTAAAAACTCAACAGTGGTTCTAAAGTGTTCCTTCTCTGTCCAAAACCAAAAAAACTGTTTTGTCTTGACATACGCTTTAACAGTAGCTTCCCAGCCGGTCGAGTAGCTTCCCAGCCGGTCGTTGTAAGTAAACGGTCGGCCGGGAGCGTTACACTACCCCGGCACAGCTGCTCTGTGACAGGAGATCAAAGGAAGATCAGTACACGATCTCCCTCTGACCTCCTCTTCGGTCCCCGAATGCAGGAAGTGATTCTCCTTTCACTCTCCAGCTTCAGAGGCTGAGGAGAAGTTGGTGAAGCAGATATCTGCTTCATCAGCTTCTCTGCGGGTCCTTAGGTGACATTACGGGTCTTGGAGACCCCTGATGTCTCCATAAAGAGGACCTGTCATGTAAATTGGCTATCACATAGGGGGCTTCTTAGCCCCCCATGTGATAGCAATAAAGTTAAGTGTAAAAAAATAAGCATAAAAAATAAATAATAAATACACACGCAAACATGCGTTGGGTGTGCCTACGTGCGAAAATGACAATTCCGCTGGCAAATGTTACATACCACTGCGAACGTCAGAGTGTGAGCAATAATAGTTATAGTTTAGTGTTATCACTGATAACACTAAACTGATGACCAGTAAAAGAGTTTAAAGCGTCACTTATGGCCAATTTTCAGTGTGGTCGTTTTTTGTGATTTTGCGGGCACGCAAAATCACAAAAAACGGCTTGACATGTTTGGTGTCTATTTACCAGAAGTGACCCCGTCTTTTATATTTTACCAAAAATAAGGGTAAGAATAAATGTTTTTTTGATATTTTTTCCCCCCTAAATTTACGGTACTTTTTTTGCATATACATTGCTTATGATGTAAACTAACTCAGGCCCCTTAGCTCTGCATTGTACATTGCAGAATAATGTAGGTATTATTGATGTTCACCATTCAGACATAGATCAGCACAGGACAATTAGTGACATATACTGGCCATTATATTCATGACAGTGATAAGCCTTCAAGAGCAACAACTTTTATTGCGGTTCTCAGATGTCATGTGACCAAATGCCAAGAGCTACATTGAAAACTACATTTTCCGAAGTGAAAGAAATGCAGTCCCTGTTAACCCTTTAATAGGAACAACTTCAGCATTTAGCTTTGTACAAATTACTTAAGACACTTGCAGTTGTAATAAAAAATATAGATGGGCTCCGCAGGGTCAATCTCAGGTGGGCTGTTTGTGATCTCATATGGGCTCTGCAAGGGGCGTAACTAGAAATCACAGGGCCCCATACATAATTTTGCTATGGTGCCCTGTGATTTCTAGTTACGCCCGTGTTGAATAACTAATTAATTTAAATCAGTACAATGGCACTTACTAAGGAAGGTGATGCTGGAATATGGGAACATGTCTCACAATAATCCATGAAACTCACACCTGTAACTATGCCCACCCATCAATGTGGCACCATGCCACACTTTGCGTGGTACACTTTCTTTAACCTAGACAACTAAAGGGACAGTTGGTTGAGTTTGCTCCCTCAGGCCAAAGGATCCCAATCCTCCCCTGACACAAGGGATCTTTTTTTGACATCTATATTCTTTATTACAACTGCAAGTGTCTTAAGTCATTTGTACAAAGCTAAATGCTGAAGTTGTTCCTATTAAAGGGTTAACAGGGACTGCATTTCTTTCACTTCGGAAAATGTAGTTTTCAATGTAAAAAAGATAAGATCTCTTAAGTCTTTTATTTACTTGAATTAGTTTTACATAATTCTGTCTTGTAAAATTTTCCACTACTTTCACTTTACATTCAGAGAAAGTTACTGGTTCCATTACTAAAATGCTTTGCTTTGACAGAGGATATTTGCATGTCCCCTATTACATATTGCTTTTATATTATAGGAGCATGTGATTTCACAAGTTATTTCTTTTCTCTGCTGATTAAACTATTTATTTCATGGTCAGTCTGATATTGCTCTGTTTTTTACACATTTCCTTTTAATGGCTTTCCTTAGTACCAGCAAGTAACCTTGAATTTGTTGGGAAAGTACTTGAGACCAAAAAAGTTAAGGCTTATGACACTTTCAGGAATGGAAGACATAAACAGATTGTATTTTGTGTGTGCAGAATATAGTTAAATTCTCTTGATGATGGGTATCATTGTCATCCTGGTCCAATGTTCTTTACATGTAGGAGGTTATGCAAATTTCTCGCTCACATAATGCTAGAATTCTGGTAAAGTAGTTTTTGCTGTGTCTTCCTTTTACCCTACTCTAATATCAATTTTTGTCAGTTTTGCCAACAGCAATGATATACATTTACTTAGGCACAGGGAGGGGGGAAAGTGTACAACGGCCAGTCAGATCCAGTTTCCTGCAAGAGTGGCAGAGAACAACCATTGTTGTAAGAAGCAGGACAGATCTCTCTTTACTGTATTCAGCCAGATGTAAATTATGTGGTGGTAACTTCTTTATATAAGATATGGGGTTGATCTACTAAAGGACAATAGGTTGATCACTTTGCAGGGGAATTTTTCCTCAGCTTAGGGAATGTAGTGATGTTCTGCTGACTTCCATCTTCCAATCATGTGCAAGCAAAAACACTGTTTTATATTTTCCTTTCTCGTGATTGGGTATTCTTTGCAAAGTGCATTTTCACCACATTCGCTAAGCCGAGGGAAAATTCCCTTGCAAAAGTACAAATTCTTTTGCAAAGTCAACAGCCTATTTGCCTTAAGTAAATAAGCCCATGGTGTTGAATCAGTGGCACAGGGGGGCCTGGCCAGGACATCTTTCTGATGCCGTGCAGGCTGCCTGGGTCGCTAAGGCATCTCAGGCTGCTGGCTGTCACTGGCGGCTGCGAGGAAGAATGTGCCGCTGTTCAGATCACTGACAATCACTGTCAGTGATCTGTGTAGCGGCACGTTCCTCCTCACAGCCGCTGCTGAGTCAGCGACAGCTGCGGAGGAGGAAGCTGGGCCCGGCGTCGGCATTGGAGGAGGAGCCCAGTGTCAGCAGTGGAGGAAGAGGCAGGGCCCAGCGACAGAGGAGGGGCCCGCCAGCGACCATGGAGGAGGAGGAGGTGGACAGCGAATTGGGGCTGACAGGCAAGAGGTGTGCAGTGGTGTGGTCAGCCCACCTGAGACCCTGCAGAGCCCCCCATAGAGTCTATGGTGGGTTCCGCAGGGTCAATCTCAGTTGGGCTGTTTGGCATCTCATATGGGCTCTGCAACGGGCGTAACTAGAAATCACAGGGCCCCATACATAATTTTGCTATGGTGGCCTGTGATTTCTAGTTACGCCCCTGTGTTGAATAACTAATTAATTTAAATCAGTACACTGGCACTTATTAAAACAGGATAATGAAAGTAAAATTGTATATTATCTGTTGTTATGGTAAGCTCAGAGTACATGTCAGGGTTTACCGTTCTCCTCTGAGAATCCCAGCCAGGATTTCCAGAAGATTCGCTACTAATGGATCTCACAGAGTTCAGGCCAGTATGGCTAGTAATAGTAAAAGATTCCAGACCAGGACTTCCAGTGCACCCTGAGGCTGGGCATGTTGTCTCTTACTCAGAAGGGTATTTAACCCTTTCGCTGCCAAGGACGTATGGCATACGGACCTACAAAAGTGCTTCCAGCTGGCCAGGTCAGTATGCCATACGGACCTGGCATTTACAGTTCTACTATAAGCTGATGGTCGCTTAAGCGACCATCATCTTATAGTATAACTGTTCAGCAGACTGTCCCCTTTAAATTAATAGCTGTCATCAGCGGCTCAGAAGCCGCTGATGACCGCTATTATCAAAAATACCGGGCGCCCC